ACTTCAAAGTCGGGGTAAAATCTGTTTTCCTAATAGGTTACAGGGGTAACAGTATTGGAAAGATTAGGACACACTGCTCTAGAGGAACTCGCCAATTCTAAGCTTGAGGTACCCTTAGGATCTCCCAACCCGGTGACGCTGTATAGGTCATCTGCGACCAGCCAGCCTACACATTTTAATTTTTGAGCACGGTTTGTTTTGTACCGACCCCGAACCGTCGCTTGCGCCCGTGTCGTTAACAAACCCCCATAATGTCCCATACTTAACTGACGACCGGACATAGGCACGGTTTAAAACCTTGCTTAGGCGCGGGTAGAAATCGTCGTCGATGAAGGGCGACTGGTTTTCCTCTGAGTAGGCGACACATTGAAACCCGGCCTACATACCATTAGCGTCAGAGAGGTCGTCGTAACAGATTATCCTTACCGTCTAAATAAAAAATAAATAAAAAGCCTTTTATTAACCATAATTAAACTAACATAAACATTTTTATAAACTAATAATAGGGATGATGACTATTTTTTTTTCTTCGTTTATCAGGTAGATTATCAAAAAGTATTGGACACGTATTTTTTCTTTTTTCACATAATATAAACATTGCAAAGATAATATATTGATTTGAAAAGTCGCATGACGTCACGTTTGAGTACACTTATAAGTGAAAATTCACTCAAAAGTGACGTCACGAGCCCCTACTCCCAAACTTTGACGCGCTGTAACTTTGTCATTTTTTGGTTGATTGCCCAAAGAAAAAATACGTGTCCATTATTTTTTGATCATCTAACTGACGGACTAAATAGAATTTCGTTTACTGTACCCCGTCATCATCCCTATTATGGTCCCCTGTAAGGGTGAAGGCCACCTCCATTTCCTTCCACGCGTCCCTGTTATTGGCTTTTTGGGTCCAGTTCTCCCAGGCTGTGCTTACAATGTCGTCTGCCCACCGTTTGAATGGTCTGCCAACCCTCCTTTTTCCAGTGGGTCCTGTCCACTTTGTCACTCAATAATAATAACTCTATTGCTTAAATTGACCATCTATCATCTATAAGGCGGCAGACATGTCCAGCCCAGCGCCATTTTAGTTTTAGTGCATGTGCGAGAGCATCAGTCAGTTTGGTCTTCGCTCTTAAGGCTTACGCAGACCGGGACGGCATGGCAAGGGATTTTGCCGTGAGTCAGCGCACACTGGCCGCTTAGATACCGCGGCATTCCAGCACTATGCCACGGGCGTTCCGCGGCAAGACAAAGCACGCTTCAGCGACTCCTGCTGCCCGATAGACTTTTAGTCTTCAGTTGCGTTCGATCGAGTGTTGGTGTGCCTCAGTTTTAAAATGGTAGATTGGGATTTGGTGCTGATATCGATAATTGCCGATGAAGAAGTAGGTGCATAGGCTGATAATAGGGATAGAAAAAGATTTTGGGTTGATAATCTATGGAAAGAAAAGGAATCAAAGGGTGAATTTCCCGCTTCTCTACCGCCGCCGCCGCACCCCGCAGTATATCACTCCGAGCTTGTTTTTATGCCTAAACAGTGGGACACGGCATTCCTAAACTTTTTTTCATTTTTAAATCTGTTTTTTATATTTTTTATTTTATAGTCATAATTGTTTTATCATTTACATTTGTAATGGAAAGTGACTTCATGGGTTATCTCATATTGAACTCATTTTTCAAATTGACGACTCTGTATATAATACAGGGAGAAAAAAACAGCCCTTGCTGAGTTTCTTGCCGGTTCTTCTCAGTACAAGGTCTCCCGCCGTAGATTTGCGAACCGATGGCGTAGCTTTTCGACATTCACAAGTGCTTGTAACAACAGCCTAGACTGAATAAATGATATTGAATTTGAATTTTTTGAATTTTGAGCGCCGGAGTCCGTGGCATGCCGTTGCCTACCGCAGTATGCCATGGCATCCCGCCACGGGAGCCTGTGGCACGTCTTTTAATGCCGTGCGATAATGCGGTTTGGGGTCGGTACAAAACAATCCGTGCTCAAGAAGAAGCTTCGCCGGCACTGGCCTGGGTAGAAACCGTCTCTTTTTCTTTAAATGTGAATGCTGGTTGGTCGCAGATGACCTTTACAGTATCATCGGCTTTGGGGACGGCGAGATCCTAAGGGGACCTCAAGCCTAGAATTGGCGAGTTCCTCTAGAGCAGTGTTTCCTAACCTTTCCAATACTGCTACCCATGTAACCTATTAGGAAAACAGATAAAATCCCTTTCAATGCCACGGCATCATTTTAAAGCATAGCAATTTATGTCGTATTTCTGTAACAGTACGGTTGAATGTCCATTAGTAAAAATATAAATCCCTTGCCAGGCCGTCCCGGTCTGCGTAGGCCTTTATAGTGGTACTCTTTACTTTATGGACCTTTCTGATTTTATAGGATAAGGAGGGGATGGAAGAAGGAAGGAAGGAATTCTTACCGTCTACCGGAGATTAATTATTAAAATTGCCCGATAGGAAATAAATAAAACCAAAACTATTAATACATGATATTGTATTTGAAACAATTTTCTCTCTTACCGCAATATAATATAAATTAGCTTGGTGAACGTCACTGATACAAAATATATATTAATTAATTAATTAATTGTAATTTTTAATAACTTATTTATAGGTACATTCCTTCGCATCCGAACCTCGACCGTCTCTGGTCGCTACTAAACAATTTGTTTCATTATTCGGATAAAATGCGTCGTCGCCGAAAATTCGTAAATTAAAAAAAAAAAGTTTTAAACGTAAAGCCAGAAACATATTAACGTGTCGTGTCGTGGCGCGCCAGAAGCACATCGTTTTCATACATTTACTATGGTTAGAGACATATTTTGCGTATCGTGTCGTGTCGACGCTTTAACTCTCTATTTCTCTGTAACCCATAATAAATGTATGAAACCGATGCGCCACGTCACGCCACGACACGTTAATGTTTTAAGTTAAGGCTTAAGTTTGTGATACAGTATAACCGCCGACAAATATTATTTTTATTAATATTAATTTATCGATGCATTTTAGATATGTACGACAATAATAATATTGAAACTAACACCTTATAGTTTCAATATACGATAAAATACTGAAAGATTAAGTTAGAATGGATAGATAATTAAAAATATTTTTTTTTGCTTGCAACATTTAAGTCCTATGGTCCGACCTTTAGTCCATGGCACTATTACAATACAATGCATTGTATTGTAGTACCAACAATTTCTTTTTATACAATACGAAAAATGAAATCTAATTAAGAATTCCAGAATATTGTTTTTTTAATATACAAAACAAAAGAAAATTTCCTTTATATTACTGAATCTTTTTTATACTTCAGCAGAACAAACAATAAATACACAAATAATATCTACCAAGATGAGGGCTCCAATCCCTTATAAAACCTATAGGTAAACCTCGAGTCCTCGCAAGGACTCTGTTAAGCAGTTAAAGATGTTAGAAACCTATAGACCGAGTGGATTTTTTTCTAGTAATATTTTCTTTAGATTTAAAACATTTTGCAGTTAAATGCTTAATAAAATTAAAAAATTATAATCCGCACACATTATACAGTTTGCCCTCACTAAACAGCAGCTTAATACAAGCAATTTAGGAAACCGAAAACATTATATTTGTCGTCAAAGCACAAAAAATGCATCATCCAAAATTATATCCGAGTATGGACATTACCATGCCAAATGCAGATTTTTTATATGTTCAAGCAATACCTTAGATGCAGAAGGCACAAAATTCTGCCGTTGCCTAACTAAACATAACACTTAATGACATAGAAAAAAAATTTCCCTACATGTTTTATACTGTCTCGGGCTCAAATTGTCTATTTTTCGTGGATTTTATAAACATAGCATGTACTATGATTCAAGTTTTTCCATTCCATTGTCTATGCAAGTAATACTGAATAACAGGGCTTGTTTACCGGTTAAATTTCAAACCTAAATCAGTGTCAAGTACATTAGGAGCGTTTTATTTAGGTTTGGCTCTACCTTAACCTTAAAAAAACCGGTTTTCCTAAAAAGCGAAATCAAATAGGTTTTAAATCAATTTAGCGGTTTTTAAAGGGTTTCATTTCGCTCTTACTGACGGCTTAAATAAATACACAACTACAAAATGAATAATTTGACTCACTAGACGCCAGCAAACGTGTCAATAAATGCATCAATCTCTGAGCATTAACAAGTTGTGACTTGATTAGTTCAAACAAAACAAACTTCAAGCGATGCCGACGCGTGCACGTGTCGCTCTGGATTAAACCGGTTTATTAAGGTTTTAGTTACCGCTTTCATTTCGGACGCGCTCCGAACGAAACCTTTAGTAAAAACCGGTATTAACCTTTATTTACCAGTATTTTGTAAACCGGTTTCAAGCCCTGCTGAATAAAGACTATAATTGTTTCATGAAACCAAAAACGCATCTGTAATTGCATAAAATTATTGTTTTTTTTTTTAATACGACTTAGTGACTAAACTTGATAGAATTTACATCATATAGAACTAACCATTCTAACATATATCTTTATGTTTTATTGGGTAGCAAATTTTGAAGAGAATTTGCAAACCAAAACAACAGCATCGGAATTAAATATTACCTGGAGAAAAACAGTGTTTTTTTCAATTTCAGACGACAGCTCAACTAGTGAACTATCTATTTCCAGTTCTGTTCCAATTTTGGAATGACAACATATTTGAATAAATAATATCACACATCAATGTATCATTTAGATACTATGAGTTCGCTTCGAGTTGACTGCTCCCACCCTGTCTTAGCACATCGCACTGCCTATCATGAAATGAAATGAAATGTCATTTATTCAGTCTAAGCTGATACAAGCACTTGTGAAGGTCAAGAAGCTACGCCATCGGTTCGCAAAACTACGGCGGGAGACCTTGTACTGAGAAGAACCGGCAAGAAACTCAGCAAGGGCTGTTTTTTTCTCCCTTTATTGTTATATATAGAGTCGTCAAGTTGAAAAATGACTTCAGAAATACGTCTGAAGTCGATCAGTTGACTCTACTGGTTGACGTAACCAGTTGGTGTGCTTGTAATTGACCTAGAACACATTTTGTAACGGTCATCGACAGCCAATTCGAAGCAAACTAGTATTATCTTTTCATACGACATTGATAAAGTTCCAACTTAAATTGAATCGATTGAATTTGTGGTAATTGAAATAGAAAAAATATCCTAACCATTCTTAGTTAATCCATACAATGGCATCTATCTTGTAAATAAATTATGAATTTAGGTGTATGTCAAGATACACAATTAAAAAAAATATTCACATACAAACTTTCGGTGACAATGCTAAGTACTAAAGCTAATGGCGTTATAGGTGACTTAAGTTATCATCTGTCCCGCTCACACATTCAGTTCAGCCGCATTTAATTTTCACTACCCTTTGCAAACATGTTCTGTGAACAAATAAGATTATGTGATTTTTATTAGTTTGCTTTGAAAGGTTGATTGATATTTTACACTTGATAAAGTTCAATGTAAGATTTTAACATCAAAGAAAAAAGTAACGAAAAATGTAAAAAAATGTATTCCAAAATGTAAATCAGTATACTGTGACGTCACGAACCGACGCCATATTGTACTGGTATGCTAACATATTTTTACCGGGAAAACGAATATGACGTTTGACTGAGCGTGCGTGAGATGCATTCGAATTTTATTTCTTTTTGAAGTTATACTTCTTTAGGCGCGTTATGAAAAAATGATGAGAGTGAAATTTTAAGATGCGCGCGCATCACTGTAACACAAAATTTTAACACCATGAAGTTGGACCAACTTCATGCTGTTACTTTTGTGTTTACCGCATATTAAGAAAATCTACCAACAACATAGAAATAGAATCTCTATTTAGTGGGTGCTAACGACTGCATTGTGAAGGCCTATCAAAAGTATTTATTAATCTGGAACAACGGAACCAAAGCGCGATTCAGGAGACTACAGCGCCATCTCTTGACCATTGGTGTAGTAGAACCAAAAACCACATTTTCCAGACTTTTTATTAATTTATTGTAATTAATTATTTGCATGCAATTAAAAACTAATTTTAAACGATGCCAAAGAAGGATAACTTCTCACGCGCCTACATAAGTACACGCACCCATTTTTTATTTAAAAAACAATAATGGCATCCGAACAAAAATAATTCCTTTTAATTGATGAGGTGAATAAAGAATCTTCTTTATTCGCACTACTTTTAATATTTCGTCGATTTATGACGTCAGTGCACTGGCCAATATATTTCGGAACAATTCACCAGTATAGCGTCGATTGATGACATCATTAGCACTGGCCAGTATACTGCTATATATTACAGAGTACACCCATAATTATGTATCAATAAAAATATGTTTTAATCAATTTTATCTTGCTAATAGGAAGTTTGATAAATATTATTAAGCAAGATAATTTCCAATTATGCAATCAAATTTTTCTTGCTTATTCTGATATTGCCCTTTACAGTTAGGGCATAGCCGATTTTCTGCTTGAATTAAAGCGTCCATCTGGAGAAGTATCCTCCACCTTACGGAAGACTACAGTAAAATAAAATGAAATAACACTACCTGTTGGTGGCATTGTTTTTGTGTCTGTGAGTAAGGTTAGGCTAGTTCCATAGGGAATAGAATAGAATAGAATAGAAATAAATTTATTAGCCTTAAACACAGATTTACATAAATAAAACAAGACAAAATAGGCCAACTAGGTAGGCAACAGTGCTTCGGAAGGCACGTTAAGCCGTTGGTCCCGGCTGCACCTGCAGTCGTTATCATCCACCAATCCGCACTGAGCCTGCGTGGTGGTTCTTGGCCCTATCTCCCTATTCCATCCATAGGGAAGGCCTGTGCCCCGAGCAGTGGGGACATTAATAGGCTGATGATGATGATGATGATGAGGCAACAATGTGAGTGATATTTTTGGTATCGCGAGTGTCTATAGGCAATGATGGATGGATGGCACCATGGCCATACCACCAGATAACAGGCTTTCTCCCACCTATTTTAAAAAAAATGCAATTGGGAATCTCAGATTTCATCTATTCTAAATTGCTTTATGAACTAATATGAATATTCAACTGTTAGATTTTCCGTAGATGTCTAATTGGCATTTTGTTTTTTTTTTAATAATTTAATATTAAATTACTATAAAAGTTAGTTATTGCCATTGTGCAATGTATAAAATGATTTATACATTTTCAAATACCTCTATCTTTGATGTTATTTTCTAGCTTGCAAAGCGTTTGACAGCCAATCCATAGCTTGATCTAAACCTTCTCCCCGAACTGCTGAAGTCTTGAAGATTTGGAAGGTGCGGTCGCGAAGGGCGTCCAGGCCTAATGCCTGATGAACTTCGGCTACTGTCAGACAACCTGCCATATCTTGTTTATTTGCTAAGACCACAAGTATTGCATTGGCTAGCTCTTCTTCCTGTAAATTATTGCATTTCAATTCATTATTTATGTCTCTAAATGGAATGTGAAGAATAATATATCTACCTATTACACACCTAAAATTCAATTTGCAAAATCCTCATCAATCAATTTGACTGCATCTAGTTAATCAAACAATCACTAAACCTTCAGCTGCCTAATTGTTCCATATGTTACACTCTTATACATAGTATATTTGATCCCAGGTTTTGCAGAACAATTGCAGGAAAAAGTTTACCACTAGGACATATTATGCACTCAAACAATCATTTTTCTCATATAGATGTATTCATTTTAAATTGCACATGTATCGCATTCAATTATATGATTGTTCATAATTAAAGTATAATCTCTAATTATTTTTGAAGTTATACTTCTTTAGGCGCGTTATGAAAAAAAATGAGAGTGAAATTTTAAGATGCGCGCGCATCACTGTAACACAAAATATTAACATACAAAAATATACACAAAATATTATGTGTTTACCGCACATTAAGAAAATCTACTAACAAAATAGAAATAGAATCTCTATTTTGTGGGTGCTAATGACTGCATTGTGAAGGCCTATCAAAAGTATTTATTAATCTGGAACAACGGAACCAAAGCGCGATTCAGGAGACTACAGCGCCATCTCTTGTCCATTGGTGTAGTAGAACCAAAAACCACATCTTTATTTTTTGTAATAAAGTAACAAAAAGTATTTATTAATCTGGAACAACGGAACCAAAGCGCGATTCAGGAGACTACAGCGCCATCTCTTGACCATTGGTGTAGTAGAACCAAAAACCACATCTTTATTTTTTGTAATAAAGTAAAAGTTATAGGTATTCATATTTATAATATTTATCCACATGTTTCTAGTTTGTATATTCGGAATACGTGTTTGAGTTTCATACAAGTGCAAATCACATATGTTCTAATAAATTATATTCAGTAGCGATTTTAATTGAATATTTTGATTATTTATTTATTTTTTCAAATTAAAACTGAACTTTATTGACTGTGTCCTTTTCCAGACTTTTTATTAATTTATTGTAATTAATTATTTGCATACAATTAAAAACTAATTTTAAACGATGCCAAAGAAGGATAACTTCTCACGCGCCTACATAAGTACACGCACCCATTTTTTTTTATGATGTTACTTCTTCATTTGGCCCATTTCACATATGCAGCAAATATTTGACTGTATTTATATATTTAGCTATCTATATTTTATTATAAGACCTGAATAAATAACGGCATGTTTTTACGCAGGCCATTTAATATTTATTTATGAGCTATGTTGTTGGTTACATAGGTAATTATTAATACTTATATTTAGCCAATACTAGCATATATTCAACATTACGTAATTGTTATTTGTTCCAAATAAAAAAAATATAAGGAAATACTGTGAAGCTGGAAGTTGCCTATACACAACATGGACAGCATTGTATGAGCACAGAAACAGTTACAACTGTTTCCAATTTATATGAGAGAAATATATTCGTCACTTCCATGATTTCAGTCATTAAAACATGTTATTAAAATAATGACTGAATATGCAAATTAATACTTACTCTTAACATATGAACCAGTTCATCTTTTGATATTCCTATTCGATCTCTATCAGCAGAGTCTACAACATATATTATTGCATCCGTGTTCCCATAGTAACATCGCCAGTAAGGCCTGAAATGTAGATATAAAGATTGTAATAGGCCATAAAACAGAAGCATATAAAATCTAGTTGTATTAATTTGACAAAATACATAATTATGTCTAAAAATCTATTTATTCGCTCCCTTAATGAGATTTTAATGCGTTACATACGCATTAAATGGGCATCGTTCACCTATAAATTGCATTTCATGTAACATAACCTAAAAATTTAAGATTTGAGAATGTCACCTAATACTGGTCTGCCCTCCAAGATCCCACACTTGAAATTTGAGGTTTTTATATGTAACTTGTTCTACATTGAATCCAATTGTTGGTATTGTAGTGACAACTTCGCCGACTTGCAATTTGTACAGTATTGTAGTCTTTCCGGCGCCATCTAAACCCAGGATCAAAATTCTCATTTCCCTTGCCCCTAGCAATCCCCTAAAGTAACTGAACAGGCCACCTGCAATCCATATTATTTCAAATTTATTCAACACAGAGAGAGAAAAGGAAATTAATTGTCGAACAATGATTAGAACACATACCCATTTTGTGATAAGCTTAGCCTACTTTACAACATAAATTTTATAACTAAGGAATGATTATGTATGTTTCTCTTTACATCCAAATGATCCCGTTAGTCTTTTGGTCTGTTTTCAAATGCGATGTTTTAATAATAAACAGTTTTATCGACAAATAGTGCACATTTTAATGAGAAAACACCAGCAACATCAACCATTTGACGCACAGATTTTGACGTGTAACTAAATTAAGTGTTGCCAGAAATAAATTATTTATATTTTTTATTCCTTGGCTATGGATATAAAATTCCTTTTATTCATTGTGATTTGTTTGTGACTCACTCCAAATTAAAGTGGACACTAAATCACAACAAAAGAACTGTATTTAATAAAGTTAACTAATATTTTTATATAAAAAAATGGATTTTAAATGTAGTAATAGTATGTAGTTAATTCCTTTGAAGTTTTTAATAGCAATTTTTATGTTTTGCATGTTTGATAATCTTGTTCTAAAAGGAAAATGAAAGATAATTAAAAAATATTATAAAACAAGTTTCAACGGTATAAATGCACTGATTTATTTATTTGTTGCCGTTTCGTATCCTTTACAGGATGCATCGTCTGAATAATGATTTTATTTACTTTTATTGTGCGTTGGGATATTCCATTGGTAGATTTTAAAACTTTATTGTGATGTGTATGTATAAATTTATTAGCTAATTTAATTAATAAAGTTCTTTATTTAATACTTTTTTTAATTATTTTGAGTTTATTTATTTGACCTTAACTACCGTAAACTACCACCAGTTCCAAAATTGGGAGACCTTTCTGTGAAGAACTGGCGAAACAAACTCAGAGAGGCTCTCTATCTTCTTCGTATTTTAAACCATGCAAACAAAAAGAACTAAAAGTATTTAGGTAGTTAGAGTCAAATAAATAAACTCAAAATTGTAAAAAAAGAATTAAATAAAGTTCTTTATTAATTCAATTAACTAATAAATATATACATAGACAAAAAAGTTTTGAAATCTTCCAATGAAATATCTGAACGCTCAATAAAAGTCTTTCGAAGGTTGCTCGACAAAGTAAATAATCATTAATCAGACGACGCATCCTGTAAAGCAGGGGTGCTCAAACGGTCGATCGCGATCGACCAGTCGATCACGACTGCTTTTTGAGTAAATCTCAAGAAGTTTTGTTTTTAATAAGTAGGTACCTACTAAATTACAAAAAAATATTACGTAATAAAATAATTCTCTGCTAGCGGCAAAAGGCGCCTTTATCAACGGAACGCGCGGTACTTGTCCGCGTTTTTATTCTTGCCGCTTTTCTAGAAATTTTGGGAAAGAAATCTAAAAGGTATCATTTTAATAACGATTGGGAGGAAGAATTTTTCTTTTGTATGGTGAAGGATAAGTGCATTTGTCTTATTTGTAGTGCGTCAGTTGCAATACTGGTAACTGAGAGAGGCATCATAAAACGGTTCATAAAAAATATGAAAAGGATTTTCCGCCACAGAGTGAATTAAGAAAACGTAAAGTACGTGATTTGATATCTTGTTTGAAAAAAGAACAAACCATGTTCACAAGACCAGCCAAACAATCAAAAGCTGCTACGATCGCGTCATTTAAAATATCTCATATATTGGCAAAACAAAAGAAACCATTCGAAGATGGATCTGTTGTGAAGGAAGCATTTATTGAAGAGGGTGAGACTTAATTTGGAGATTTTAAAAATAAAGCAGAAATCATGTCTACTATAACAGAACTTCAGTTATCTCGTCCGACTGTCACAAGGCGTATTGAAGTCATGAGTCAGGACATGGCAGATAAACTAAAACATGATATCATGGAATATACTTTTCTTTACACTTTGACGAATCCACCGATATGGCAGACACTGACCAGCTGTGTATTTTTATTCGGATGGTATTCAATGACATGTTGGCTAAGGAAGAATTTTTGACAATCATTCCTCTGAAGGGAAAGACCCGTGGCGAAGATATATATGACGTTTTCTTTAATGTCTAAAAATCTACAAGCTACCAATATATAAATTAGTGTGCATCACAACCGATGGAGCATCAGCAATGACTGGAAACAAAAACGGTTTTGTGGAATTGTGTCGAGCTAACGTAGCTTGCAACGGCGGCTCTTAAAGTTGCAATTGGAAGATAGGAAGTCAGCTGAACACACTGATTTAGTTCATCACACGGACGTCAGGTGGTTCAGTCACGGAAAATTCCTAGAAAGATTTCAAGAATTATTGCCCGAAATAACAGCTTTTCTAGATGAAAGAAAGAGGTGATCACACTCAGATGTTGAAAAACGAAAAATGCCTGACTGCAGCCTACCTAGGTAGGTAGGTAGGTAGGTGGGGTGTATCGTGTATGTACGACAACCCTGCATCACACATACTTGCAGCCTCTCAGAGTCGATCGTAAGTAGTCTAAAAATTTTAAGGTAAATCGCCAGCAGTTAAAGATTCAGCACCCCTTTTTTTTTTTTTTTTAACGCAGGTAAAAAATCTTTTTACAGACGACGGCGCCTTTAAGAGGCACACCGCCGAACGGACCTCACACCTGGCTCCCGCAAGTCTTACGGACCCCCCAGTGGCTACCCACCGAGGACCCCGCAACTCTTACGGGCGCTTTACAGTATAATATCCGCTAAAAAAGTCCTGCGAATACCTACCTCTACACTGCTTAGTGCGGAGCCGCAGGGTCCCCGTCAGGGATTCTACCACGGCTCCGCCCCCAGCAGCATCCTGGCCTCGCCAGGGCTCCACGGCAGGGGTCTCCCGCGGTATTACGGGGGGCCCGCGCGTGGGGGCTGGATACGCGGCCTACTGCCCACCATACCGCCCCACAAGATTTAGCACCCCTGGTGTAAAGGATGCGAAACGTCAATAAATAAATAAATCAGTGCATCTATACCGTAAAACTTGTTTTATTTAAATATAATAAAGATAATAATCCATTTAATCAAGTCATGATCTGATGGTGGAATCCGGGAAAATCGAGGGAAACCATTAAATTTCAAAGGCACGCATGATGTTTTTTTATGCATGTTCACCGATCTCTCCGTCAATTGTGTTATTGTTTACTTGAACATTAAAATGGATGAAGTAAAATTTTTTATACAAAAAGTGAATCCGACTCTAAAATCGAAATAATTATTAAACATAGGTGTCATTCGGGAGGACCAGCCGGCCAAATACCGCTTCAAAAATAATTATAAATTACAAAGGGGGCTTTCGGGACCGCGGTTCCGGTCCCATATGATCACCGCCTCGTTTAAAGTTTTGTTCTATTTATTCCATATGATGGACATATAAATCACAAATAATGGTTTTTCCACCTCTTCTTTTTGTTTATCCGAAGGCAAAAAGCTAAGCCCACACAGCCTCTTAGATTAAGTTTCTTGTTTTTGTGATGTATTTCACATTCTTGAGCAAGTGATAATTGTTTTTGTTTTTGTTTAGTGTTAATATTATTATATTAATAACTTCTCTTATTTGTATATTAAGTGATTGTCTTCTGTCTCCGTCCGTTAATGTCCAAATAAGGTCCCTCCAGAATATCAGTTGCAGCGGCAATCCATTTTTGCCGTTGCAACATTATGCTGAGGTGCTTTTATGTGTATTTATTGTTATTGTTAATGTATGTCGTCAATAGATGATTTCTTTCTTTCTTCTTTCTTTCTAAAGGTACTATAAGTATACTTATCTAATAATTAGGTGTTACTAACACTGTATTTACAAAAAAAAATACCGTTAAGATTAATCGTGTAAACATTGATGAACATGCTTGCGGCACTGAATCACATCTTATAAATAAGGTAGATCAGTTAATCAACGTCTATAATTATCTTGTGTTGTTGGTTTACAGTTTAATTTTTAAACTCCTATTTTAGTTTATGATGAGTCAGTTGGCGCAATGAACACGACGGGATTCAATTTAGAATAAATGTTTATTGGAGAGATGTTCGTGTGTTCGACAGTTTAGTTTTGTCTGACAGTTCTTTTTGTGGAGAGAATTACACCATACGTTTTTAATAGATTCATTTAATATATCCACGTCACCTGATGTGATGCGTGTGTGGAGTCAAATTGCGATGACCAGCGTGTGTGACCACAGAACACAGAAAGGGGTTATAAGCATCGATATTAAATACCCTAGATACACCAACACGAACAAAATCGTGCCCGAAACCTGTCCAAAAGGTACATTGAACGATCCACGGAGCTCCGTAAGATGATCGCGTAGTCAAAATCAATTTAAGGCATTATTTAAATATTGAAAGTAACCTTTAATACATACTGTATAAGGTCTTAAATAAAACGCATGCGTCAAGGACATCTGACAGTTCGAAATCCACCTCGTAAAATTTTACGACTTATTGCTATAATGCGGAATTTAGACCTTAGTTCTTTGACTCTACGCGCAATTCTGAACGCGCTGTTAGCAATATAGCAGGCACGGACCGCGAGAAAAGAGACGGCTATATGTCGACGTATAACCGACCATGCATTTGAATATCACAAATATTTTATATTAAATCAGTTTAAAGTAAGTATATGATCAAAATTTACTTCAAATGTGTTAAATTAACAAACATTGACAAGATACCTGTCGAAAAAACGACACTTTTTGTACTCTTGACTTTGTAACGGTCCGCGCGTGACTGTGAACCAAGAAGTGCTTGAGTGGAGTTCAAACACTTCTTGATTGGGACACATTTTGAGCGCTCGTGGTATATCTAGGGTATTCAATATCGTTGGTTATAAGGGCCTTGTGGGCGGGGCAGGTGCGCCACAGTTATGCGTGAGAAAATTCTCATAACTTGACGAAAACTTGGTTCTGATTGCATTGTTGCTCTCAGGTGTGAGCGCTGATTGGTTCGATTGTTTGATGTCGTGTCGTTTGATTGGCTATTACTATTAGATGGAAGTGTAGTGGGGGCGAACCGGCGACATCGATTCCCGTACAAACAGTCTGTCTCTCTTTCTGTGTTCTGTGTGTGTGACACAAATTCAAATTCAAATGCTTTATTGTGAAATGTAGGTTAGTACAGCAAATTGGTGTTAGGTTAAAAGTTTAGTGTCACTATATTTCGACCTTATTACAAGGTATACAATATTTTTTATGAAATAATTAGGTTTACAATTATATAAAAATTATATAAAAATTGTCCTTTCTATTTCCCATACTTTTGAGTAATAGTTACTTAATTACTG